AATTGCAATTGATAGAAATACGCTAATATTTAAATAATACTTATTTCGAACACTACAAGCACTAGAAGAGAAATCGATGTCAAAAAAGCATCTTATTTCATATTCGGAAATACTCGTGAGATCTATCTTAATCGATTCTCCGACGAAACGGTTTCACGAATAAAACGAGCGACAAGAAGATGAACGAAGAAACAGATGGACAATACAACAGAATAACAGAACAGAATAAAAAATGATACAGACAATAGAAAGAAAGAAAAAGAAAGAGAAGAGAGAGAGAGAGAGAGACAGAGAGAGAGAGAGAGAGAGAGAGAGAGAGAGAGAAAGAGAGGTTTACTGTTACTTTGGTATTACTCTGTACTTGCATGCACAACCACGTACACTGTCCAGTCTACGGAGCAACCAGATACCCACTTTCGCCATCTGCGCTTGGATGCCCTTGGCGACCAGTGCTTTCACAGCACCCTCTGCCGCCATCGGTGACTCGAAGTCTACAAATCCGTAACCTACAACACAATCACGACGGTATAAACTCCTGCTGACAATTTTATCATGCATAAGAAATTATAAAAGGAAATATTTTATCTATCACATATATTTATTATGATTTGAATAGAAATTCTCTCTAAAAGTTCATAACTCTTATAAAGGTTATAAGATAAACATTTTGAAATAAACTTCGTATGTGAATTATAATATATATATATATATATATGTGTGTGTGTGTATCTCTGTGTGTGTGTGTGTGTGTGTATAAATCCAAGAAATTAAAAAATACTGAGGGCGTGCATTAATTACCTTTACATTTGTTTGTATTTTTGTCTAAAATCGCCTTGGTGGAAGTTATAGTTCCGTACCTGCAAAAATATTGAGTTTTGATCTGATGTATTTGCATTAATTTACACTTATAACTATGCAATTTCAAAAAGTAATAAATTATTGATACGACTACTATAAACTAATATAATTGTTAATAAGCAATAGTTGTATATACGATTTCTATCTATATTACGATAAATAACATTAATTTACATTTGGGATACTAGATAGCTCCCAGCTGGCAGTTCCAGCACAATCATTTATCAATCAGATCCGAGTTTAATTCCCCAAAATTGCTATCTGACATATAAATTGCTACATGATATTAAGAACTCTGAATAATAAATTTTGACTCGTACAGTACGACATAAATGTCAAAAGAAATTCATAATATTTATGTATTTCATCATGATATACAAATATCTACGATCACGTGTATAACGTTACTTACTGAGAACACATGTTAACGAGGTCTTTGTCAGTCGTATTCTGGTTGAGGCCACGGATATATAGATTCGTTTTAGACAGCTGCTCTGCTTGTTGACCCTGCATGGCATTGTTGCTGAGATTCGTGCTCATTGTCCCGCTTTGACTGCCAGTGGCACTACTGGAGCTGCTGTTAGTGTTTGCTGGGGATGAAGCTGTAGGCACCCGCTGTCCACCGTACTGTAAGCACCATCAATACTGTGCGATAACTGAAGATGTTCGAAAAGAGTCAAGAACAATTAATTTTATAGAGCCTATCGTTTTTATCGAATCGATACAACATGTATTATCTTAAACTTGTGTTACAATAGGCTAAAGGCACATAAAAACTTCAGCAGTAAGATGTAAAGAGAAAGAAAATCAACATTTTGAATTCGCTACTACTTACGTTATTATTACCTTACATTTTCTACTGTATGATTAATCAATTCGCTTATTAAATTATGTTTTTCTAAGAACTATAGTCTTTACACGAATTTAGTGTTCTGCTATAAATCATATTATCATAACATAATCAATGACTTGCGTGCAATAAAAATATAAAATTAGTACTCTATAATCTCGAAACTATTATTTTCATATTTAAATAATAGGATTAAATAAAATTTAAATAAAATTCATTTTAAAATGAATTTTGATAAGCAAGAATTCCATGTACTGAAAATAAAAGTGCTATTTGTTTTTTACGTAAAAACGATTCTAAAGGAGTTACATAAATTTGTAAATGACATATTTCCTTCCTCAGTCCTCGTTTACAACAATAAATTTGTAAATACGCAGAGCATTAAATGCTTATCAAAGTGACCTACGTCTCGTTCCAGCTTTTGCGACTTTCCACTTGTCGCGCGACGGGATCTTGGGTTTATTGTCATGGACAAAGTCAACGGAGAGATTAGAAAACACAGTGAATGCGACTTACCGTCGCGTGCTGCGCGTATGTGGCGGTGACGAAGGGATTAACGGATGCCGGTAGCTGCTGGGGACCGCCACCGACCGCGGCGGCCGCCGCAGCCGCTGCTGCCGCACTTGGATAACGCGTGTAAGGTGGGTA